TGTCGTGTGCAGCTAGTGTGTCATGTACCTTAAATTAGTGTCAGGTGTTCTACCTATTGTGAGGATGGCTGCATATTTCTTCATGGTGGGCATATGTAACTTTATGTTACGCTAAAATTTGGATATTCTACTTGTGGGAAGAAAATGTTAGTTGAATGTGTTATCAGTAGATGTGGTTACCTCTGGGTGTAGGTAATGTTGTGTGTGTGTTAATGGTGTAGTGTATGTGTGGTCAGATCTGTTTCAGTCTGTGTTGTCTCCCCCCTTTTCTTGTATGTCAGTGAAGACGGGCTCTCTGCATCCTTGGCTTGGATGAGGGCGTGTCCATGATCTAATGGGGGTCAGTCCAGCAAGGCAGGAAGTTCTTTAGCAGACAGTCAGAGCTAGTTTGGCATGGCTGTGTGAAGCTGGGGTGCAAACTTTGTCTCCTATGTTGCATTTCTCTTGTGATGCCTTCTGGTTGTGGCAGACTTTCTGACCTTCTGTGGTTCTTGGAGTTGATTTGACAGTTTGTTATTGAGCGATGGGTGACTGAGGTGATGTTCTTTGGTACCTCAGAGTTTCATCAACAGTTGGCCGTGAGAGACTTGCTCGTTCTGGGTGGTTGTTGAACAGGTGCTTGTCATCTCTGATGTGGTGTACCAGGTGATCACCGGCCTTCCGTTCTGTCGCTGGTCACAGCGAGCATGACTCAACTTTGTGGTCATCCATGTTCAGCTTTTCTTGAAGGAACTCTTTCATTTGTCTCATGACTTGTTCCATGTCTTCTGATGGTAAGCTGTCTTGTTCTTCTGCATACTCAGCACTGTGCATGTCTGAGTGGTGCTGAGGTGGGTTTTGTTGTCGCTTACTCACACGAGTTGCTCTTGGATGAGTCAGGCGATTACCTTTGGATGTCTGGTTAGGTTTCCAGTTGTTCCTATCTTTTGGGTTTCTTGAGAAGCGTGGCTGGTCCCATGGATTTTTCCAGCGGTTAGACTGAAAGCTGTCTTGGACATGGGTGTCACGTTCTCTCTGCTCTTGATGGAAGACTCTGGTGTCGTGATGCCACTGGGTGTTGTCCAGTGCAAGGCCTGAGTCTTTGGTGACAGAGTTCAAGAGTGTGGATGTTTTGTTACCTTTCTTTGAGGCCATCTTCTGCTTGTTGTAGGCCTTCTGTGTTAGGTCACGCAACTGTTGGATGGTCATGGAGCGTGGACAGGCCATGACGCCTAGATGATGGCTGACTCCAGGGTGCAGGTTTCTTAGGAAGAGGCTTTTGAAGTTCACATCCTCTTCGAGGTCAGGTTCGTTGTGTGCACCAAAGTAGGCTTGTCGGAGTCGGTTGTAGTAAGCTTGTGGAACCTCTTGTCGACCTTGCTTGATCTCCAAAGCAGTTAACAGTCCAAGTTCAGACTCAGGGTCTGTAAACTCTTTAATATGGACTTCACGAAGTAGCTGGTAGCTTGACTTTGTTTGACTGGGCTGTCGATCTAGGAAGTTTCTTACCTCAGGACTTGATGTGGCTCTTAGGAGGTATAACCTGTCTCTGTCAGTCACATGAGGTCTCATTTCCAGATAAAACTCGATATCTTGCAGGTAGGCCTGGATGTCGTGGCCCTCTGCAGATTTTGGGTTGAAACTGCTGATGTTTTTAGACAGCTTGTTGAGGTCTTTGATGGTCATCCCATGTGCAGCTCCAAGGTCTGCTTGGATGGGAGGTATTCTTTCGTTGGCAGGAAAGGCTTGTGTGGCGAAGGCAGGTGAGGTTTTGGGTTGTGGCCCTTCGCGCCTTTCGTCATATGCTGGTTCTTGGATATGGGACTCTGCTCTGCTGAGCAGTGGTGAGGCTGAGAGATGCTTCTCTTTTCTTGGCTCTTGTTTCGGCTCATAAGCATCTTTGAGTACTTTTCTGACCATGTAGAGCTCATCGTTGGTATCGTCTAGCTGTTGGGTCAGATTGTCCATTTCAGTCCTGTACCTTTCAAGGTGGTCTTCCAAGGTACTGATCTCAGCATTCTTGTCTCTGATGTGATTCTTGGCTTTCTCTAGTAGCTGTTCGGCATACTGGAGTCTGTTTACTTTCTGGGCAGCCTTTGCACGTTGTTGGTCGAGCTGAGCTGCTGCCAGGGCTGCTTGAAGCTTCTTAACTTGTTCCGTTGTTTCTTGCTCCCTCTCGTTGGGTGCTTTGAGTTGATCTTGAACTTTCACTTCCAGCTTGTCTATGCGGCGTTGAGCACGTGTCAGCTCCTCTTGAAGGTGGGTGATGTGCTTGTCGCTCAGTTTCAGCTGGGTTGTGAAGGCATAGCTTAGGGAGCTGGTGATCTTGACTAGCTCCTCGTGGTTGTTGTTCTGGCTTGAATCTTGTGTCAGGAATCTTCTCAGGATTTTGATTATTATTAAAAATAATAACAGTTCAAATGTCTTGGGGGTGAGGCTGTCTGTCATGCCTCTCAGCCAAGTGTTCACATCTTCCCCATGGGCAATGGGGTCTGCAGTCTGTGGCATGTTGTCACGCTGGGGAGAAGAGAGACTGACACAGATCTGTGTGGAGTCGAAGCCTATGTGTGGTGAGACAAATAAGTGTCATGTCTGATTGTGAAGCACTAGTGAAGTGTGGTGATGATTGTGTTGGTCTCAGGGTGTCTAAGTAGACTAGGGATGTGAAGACTTCGTCACTCTAATGAGGAAGAGGAAAAAGAGAGAAAAAGGTGAAAACAATTAAATGAAAAGAAACAATTCCTTTTCAGTTAGAGAAATTCTTCCTTTTTTCAATTGAATGTTGTTATCAAGAAGGTAAACAATATTATTAAATCTCTGTTTTAGACAAAAGAATGCAATAATAATGTTGATATCTCTTTTCTTAGTCTGACAGGATTGACACCGTACACCTTACAGTTGGGCCGCTCACCAGGGAGGCTGCGAAGGCGACAGTTGTTCAACACTTATCTCTATTAAATCGATCTCAGCATTGGATGAGATTCTAAAATTTGGATTGCGTTTCCAAATGTAGGGAGGTTAGGAAGAACAAAGGAGGGGTTGATTACAATCAAATTCATACGGATGATTCGTCTTTTTCAACAAGATTATGTATTTCATTCACATAGAATTGATTGATGGTTCTTACAGGTCCCTACGCATGTGAAGAGTAAAGAGGAAAGAAAGCAGGAGGTGACAGGAGAAAAGGGGAGGAGAGCTTCGAGAAGATTGTGTATTTTATTCACATAAAATTGATTGATGGTTCTTACAGCTCCCTACACATGTGAAGAGTAAAGAGGAAGGAAAGCAGGAGACAGGAGAGAAGGGAAGGAGACTCAGTAAACTGAGTGGATTGTGTCCACTAGCAGGCTCTGTTGCTGTTATGCCCAACTACAAGTATAATAGTGTTGTTTTTAGCTGCTGCACAACCAATCAAACAAAAAAAATTATTTAAGTGAAAGAGAGTTGTCTTTCTAATTTATTTGAACTCGTAGTGAGGGATAACACTGTCTCCTATTAGGGCTCAGGTGTGTCGTTGCCAAGCTAGGATATACAGAGGAAAGAGAATGGTAAGTAAAGTAACATTAAAAAGTAATAAATGGGCAAAATAAGTAAAAAAGGAAATTAAATAAACAAGGAAATCAATAAATAGAACAATAATGGCTAAGTGTATAACCAAACAGGAAGAAAATGGGTCAAACGCAATAAAATAATGAGTAAGTATAAGTCTGAATAGAATTTATTGATAGGGGTAATAAAATCATTTAGGTAGAATAAGTTTACTTAAACTTTAAAAGTTCAAGGCTTATTCGTACCTAAGATGATTAGGCATAAGAGGGAATACTAGAAATAATGATCATATGAAATGATCTGAGGGGGAAATTTGAATGATTCCAAATAAATTTAATGTTTTAATTAAATTTGAATTTGGCACAATTAATAATTGTGAGTCAGTATTTCCCTTTCTAGTAAAATAAGATAAAATGGTAAGAAGTGAGAAAAGGGAGAAATAAGAGAGAGAAAGAGACCAACAGGTGTATTAGTTTAGATGTTTAAAGGGTTAAATCACTTTATCGTTGCCCAAACAGACACTGCATTCAACCACTGGATGTTAATGCTAACTGCTAACCTTTGAGGCTAAAGGCTTTAGCAGAGACTTCAATGTAAACACCACCGTTTCGTTAGCTTAGCTGCACGTGCGCAGTTCAGAGTTGCCTCGGAAGTAGGTTAAGACTACCATGTCACGATCGTAACTATGGCAACCAAAACACGCTCTAGTGGGCTAGCCTGTGAATAGTTGCATTGCAAGTACAGTTAAGTATGTTATATGAAATTTTGGCACATTTCAACACTGTACAAATAACAACACCACTTCTGGTTGGTTTTGCGATGTGGCGCTTAAACTCTCAGTTCGTTCGGAGTTACATTTAACTTTATTCAAATAGCAGCTTCGCCTTAAGCGAAACAGTGATAACCATCTCAGCAGATCTTCAAATCTCCGTGCCAGTCTCTCTGGACACGTAAACACAACAGCTTTTCTTCGCTGTTGGTACAAAGTTAATATTAACTTACACGCAGTGTTAAGCGAGATTAAATTTACATTGTGAACAGACACAGGCATGCAAACATTATTCTCTAATGTTTAACCCAGGGAGTCAAAGTTGATTTGGCAATGGGACATGCATTAAAGTCAAACAATGAATAATAAGGCTTTGATAAATAGATTGAGGAACACGCTCAAAACTATTCTTTATACACCGATTTATTTCCCTTTTAACTACTGCAGTTTAGCTCCGTTCAGCTAACGATGACTGAGATTCCCTGCAGGGAGTATAGAGATTGAAAAGCACTGGAACTGTGGTAGATTTTTATTGGTTAAATGATGAATTGTTCGAGTGTAATCATTAGTAATATAGCCATTTAAATATCTAGTTATACTTCCATTATAATCCTATATGCTGTAATAATTTACTTAGTTGTAAGGGAATTAATCATTATTAATTCATTCAGGTTTATTTCTAGCTCAGGTTTTAAAAGAACTCGATCTGAGAATTCGAGGTCCACCTGATCAAAACTGACTTTGACTTTCAATAGTTTATACTTTTATCAGCTACTCGACCAGCGAAGCTGGCTTTTGACGAGCAGCACACAACAACGGTGGCCACCGAATAGGTAAGCAATTTTGCTTATATAATTGGTGTGTGCTGTTTGCGGGTCTGCTCTTGGTGGTAAGGACACTTAAAATCTGCTCTTCCAGAATTAAAAAATAAATGAATAACTCAAATAAAATATTATAAAAGGGTTTTTTGATGTCAGAAGAAATAACTGCATGCACAGATTTGGTTTAAAATTAGGAAGGCCTTGCTAGGGAACCTAAATTGAAGCTGGATGGTGTAGGCAGAAATACATTACGTCTAATGGTCTGTATTGATTGTGGATTGGGCTTAAAAGGGAGGCAATCAACAATGAAGCAGATATAATAAAGGATAGCGCGCAAAGACCTACGGATACCGCTTTGAGAAAGAAAAAGGTGTAAGGAGGCTCGAAGGGCTGCACGGGTAGGCAGAAATCCCTGCTGGGCGCTGTTTTTTTACTAAGTTGAGGGAGAAATTGTCAGTAAAAGAACGAGAGCACTGCAGGTCACTCGAGGTAGAGTGTAGTGTTTTGTTATATGAGACTGAAACTGTGTCTGTGTCCGTGTGAATGTCCGTATGAGTGATGGTGAATGTATGAGAAAATAAAGAAATTCCGTATTGGGTGGTTAAGAGCTGCGCACCCTCTTGGTCCATCACTTAAATGTGGCTTGGCGTGGATGGACGCAGCTCGTGACGCACCCGAGAGGGATGAATAAATGATTAGCCCTATAGATAAAGGGAAAAAATATGAATGCTTTAGCCCTAATAAAAGGGAAAACGAATGAAAGCATGAGCCCTGTCTGAATAAAGGGACGAGCAGTGT